TTGTATGGCAGCAAGGCTAGAGTTGACCTTGTTTTGATACAGACCTCACTGCTTTTGTTGTGTAAAACAAGTTGTTCTGATGCTAACTAGGTGCATTTATATGACAAAAGCAGTGAGGTCTGTATCAAAACAAGGTCAACTCTAGCCTCGCTGCCATACTAAGGCCAGGTCACTGAGCAGACAACTGTAAAATGGTCTATTACAAAAGACCTCATGTTTGACCACATTTCCAAACACCGAGAAGAGAATTGGAAAATGCGACGCGTAGTGGTCAAACACTGTCTTGAGTGTTTAGTATATCTTCTCCATCGAAACTAAAGCTAAGGAGAAATGGAGAGTTAAAATCGTAAAAAATGTATGCTAATTAAGATGAGATATCAAAACACCGTCACGGTCATGATTTCATTTTAATTAAACTTGATGAATTATAAATGAGTTTGAGAGGCCATTTTTATAAAGAGAGATTGTGACCATTTATCCACTGGGGTTAGCGGTCCTTCCTTAGGAAAAGAGTGCATCTGATTACATGAGTCGCGTTCTCTCGGAACGTTTCACATTCGGCCAGCTTTTAGACCAGGTCAAATATTTAAGAAGCGCAAGGACCGACCAACGATCGACCGAGTCCAGGGAATCGCATACAAAGTAACCACTCGTTCAATTCCTTAACTGGTATTTTGTGCTCCAATAGTTTCAAAAGCTGGTGTCGAATTATATCACCACGTGTTTGAGAGTCTTCTCTGCGGGTTAACACAGCTTGTGGAATTCCACGTCTAACGCCAAGATTTTATACTTTTATCCAAGCTATGTGCACATCATTCATTCTTCGTTCAGAACATCACAGAGAAGAACATCATATAAACATCTAAAGGTATTTCTTTGAAGGTAAGATTTTTTTGATATAGATTTTTTGACAATATAAATTTGTAAGACCCTTGACGGTATAGCAATTTGACCAGTATTGTAATTATTATTGCCATCAAACAACCTTGCTTTCTTTATTTCTTTGTTTTTGCCTTTTTTGCTTTTTTTTCAAACAGCTACCGTGTAAAAATGATTTCCAGACGAAAATAAAGAGCGACAATTATTTCTGCAGTCATTTTCTCTCAAGTCAAAGATGATTTTAGTTTTGCAACAAACTTTCACTGAAAATAAATTTAAGTATTAAATGTATGTTATTGAACAGCCCGTGTCTTATAGTAAAGCGCTCGCATTAAATTAAACTAAAAATTTGACTTTAACCGATGAATCTGAAGCTGAATCTGAATCTGAATTTACTTTCAGCTTATCAAATCAATGCCGTATTGGATTTTCACACTATTTCCAAAATAAGGCCCTGTGCACACTACACCGCAGGAATTTGAAAACAGAGTTATTACTCTGAAAACGTAGCAAATGTTTTCCCGTCAACACTAAGCCGGAGGAATATAGAAACGCAACAATAACCGGTCATTTTGGATTTTTGCTTGAAGAAAACTCAGTCAGGGAATCACATGATTATCATGACGCCAACGTTTTTCAAATTTTTTTCCAGATGTCCACACGAAAACGAAAAGCTAGCGTTTTCAAATTCCTCCGGTTTCAAGAGCGTTTTCGAAAAGCTCCGTTTTCGTGACGGGTAAGTGTGGACGGTAGGCCTAGCCGTAGAAATAAACGAGCTACGTTTACAAAGCTCTCTGGCTTACTGTACAGTGTGGGGCCCAGTTCTCGGCCACTTTTTGTTCCGCGTTTATTTTTCGCGTCACAAATGAATCTGAATAAAAAGCAACTGTTTCCAAAGGTAGCTTGATTCCTTGTCTTCCGTTCTGCCGA